GCTGAATGGTGAGCCAAGTATTTAACTTTGCTATATCATAAATCGCTTGTTTGTGCACAACTTCCGTATGACTGAAGGTTTTCTAAAATTGTCTCCATACCAAAATCAGCAGACCACTCATTACCTTCGTCATACAGGCCTATATCAATTTTATGTAATTTAGTGAAGCTGCTTGAACATAATATATTCAAGCACATATCAGCCTTTGTTGAGAGCAATACAGTCGAACCCCTCTACAACGAACACCGCTTCAACAAAATTCCCGCTACAACGAAAAATTCACGGTTCCCCGTCAGCAGCCCATAGAAGTCAATGCATAAATATTGTCGCCTCAATGAACACTTTTTCTTCTGCCGTCCCGCTTCACCGAAATTACACGATGCGATTCCAGGCTCAGATATTTATTGCTATACAGTAAACCCAATCTTTGACATATTGATGCATTTTCAGAATCTGAAATTACGTTGAGGAAGTCTAAAACACGCGTTGACACCACCAAAAACCACTGCTGTTCAGCAAGCATGGGCACTGCCATTGCTTGATAGCGATGGCAAGGAGACTACCCAGCTTTTGTCACTGGCAATATAACAGTGGTAATATAACAGCAATGGTAATATAACAATAGCAATATTAATAATAATTGCACGCTTCAAAAACAGTGTTCCAACTATCAGCATACAAGGCAAATTATAATACACACAAGCCTGAATATATGCAAGAAGGCTTGATACTAATGAAAAATTACACAGTAAAACCTCGTTATAATGAAACAATTGTAGTTCCCCTTGAAATTCCCATAGAGGTCCATTAATTTAAAACCTCATTTTAACAAAGTGAAAATTTCCTCACAAAGAATATAAGAAACCATTCTTTGTCTGCAATGAGCATTTTGGTATATGTCAATTCAATATCTTGGAGCACGTGACGGTTTACGTCTCATCACGGCTGCGGTAGTTCAAAACTCGCGCCTTGCGCTCCCCGGGAGCCGCCTGCGGCCTCCTAACACGTGTGTGGGAGCGAGTCTCCCTGCCTTCTCTTTTCTCAGAAACTAAGGAACTTGCTCGCACAGCAACTCCGCAAGCGTGCGTGTCAGCTAGCCTCCCCGCTTCTGTAGAACTCGTTCACCTGCCCGCGCATCTGACCTCCTTCTCCCCTTCAGCTCCACGTCGGGGCCTCACACGCCGCTGGGGCGGCGGAGATCGTGGAGTTTGTCCTTGTCGTTCGCTGTGGAAGAGCAACACCACCTCTATCAGTTTCTGGCTATTAGGACAACAGCAGCGGCAAACATAAGCGAAAAAGTATAACAATCAAAAAGAAGTCGGCAATGTTGAAAGCCGTCGAGTCTGGGGTCAAGAAAAAAAACTAGTCGAAGATTTCAGCGATGTTGCTGGGTGTCGGGGGCAACCAGGCCCAGACGTCGTGGGGTGCTCTCCTTGAGGGCAGCATTGTGCCTCACTGCAACACTTTCTGCATGTACGTTGGTGCCGATGCTGATGCGGCGACAACCAAAGAATTGTCAGATGCAGAAATTGTGCCCGCGATGATGGCCGTGTACGACGACAGTGACGAATGAGTCGCCACCCCAAAACCTTATGTTGGCGAACTTGACGTACCACCCCAAAGCCTTATGTTGGCGAACTTGACGTACCAACAGCCATGCAAGCACTGGATGCGACAGACCTGCTGTGCTGCTTCTTTGGTGCTTACGATGATGGCAAGAATAGACTCAAAAAAGCTGCTGCAGCTGAAAAAGCGGCTGTCCGCATTAGGAAGAGTCGGCAAAAGTTTATTATGGACTGTGCTAGCTGGTGTGCCGAATTTGGCGGAAATAAAATGCATTGTTCTTAGTTATTTTGCTATTTTTTTGCCTTCGGACGGCAGCTTTTTTCTGCGCGGCGGTCTGTTGTGATTTTCGTTGGTGTCTACATTCTTTCTTGCTAGTTAATTGTCAATAGAAATGAATATTGCCTATAACAAACCTAATGTTTATAACGCAGTAACTACAACTTCCCCTTCAACTTTGTTATAACAAGGTTTTACAGTAGGCCCACCCAAACTTGGATGTGATCAGTAGTTCTATATTGTATTTGCACAGTTGGAATTCCACATCCTCTTATTAGATGTGAAGCAGCTTTTTGACTAGCCTGCTTAACACTGTCCCTCCATCCGCACCGCTTCCCTCGCCGCAGAAGTTGGAGTGGTGCAAAGTAGCTCATGCCCTCCTACCAGTGCACGGTGATGTCTCTCTCCTTCACCTGCTGCGTGTCAGCTCTCTCTTGCTTTACCCACCACTCGCAACGCTCGAGCCCACTCCTCACGTGGGCATTATCTCACTTATGCCACCTCTCTCCATCTGTCGTCAAGAAGAAGCCGCAATTCGGGAGGTGCGCATGCTGCAAGCGCCTCGGGAATTTCGCAGCGCTGACAACTTAGACAGTGCGCTGCTGCTTGCCACGCGATCACACTGGTGGGCAGGACACCGTCGCGGCATGCTTCCCACTAGTGTGCACGTACTTTTTCAGGCTGTCACTAGTAATGTGAAAGTTAGTGAAACCGATCGCGCTCGCGAATGACGATGTCAACATCGACGAGACGGGAGCCAAGGAAGCGAAATGCCAGCGTCAGCAGCGGAATACTAGCGACACCGATGAGGTGCGAGTTAAGAACACCGATCACGTTTGAAAATACAGACGGCACGCAGGTAACACCGACGAGGTGTGAGCCAAGAAAGCCGAGCGCAAGCGTTTTCGATTCGTCCCGCCTACTGTCTCCAAGTTTCAAACAAACGTTTACTCAAGTAAACGCTACGCCGAGTTTCGCTTCAAACCGTTCTTTCAGCGCCCGCGTTGACGCCTGTTTCAACCGGGTGAACTCCGTGAAGACCGCTGCTCTTCGCATTCCATCAGCGTTCCCTTCGGGGAGATGTCCATACTTTTATTAACAGAAGCGACCAAAAAGAAAAGAAAAAGATCCGCAGGCTCACCGAGTGAGCGGAACGGTGGTTGCCTGGGTGTCAAAGTAATTTTGCACTGGCGTGCCTCCGGCCACTAGCCCACTGCGCGTGTTCCGCATGGAACGTGTGATCGCGTCCTCGTCAAGTGCGCATTAAGTTTTATGTCGCGAAAAGCATCATCGTTGTCACGTTTGTTATCTCGTCCGCAAATTTAAAAGCTTTTTGGCTTTTTAACGCGAGCGTTCACCTTAACAATTTGCTGTCAATACACACTAGACTTGCACAAGCTTGGTGGACTTTTGTGCCACTGGTTTCCTGGCCGACAACCTAAATATCGTATTACGTGCGCTACTCTTGAGTAAATGCTTGAGTGCAATCTTTCTGACGCTGAATCTTCATGTTGTCTTATACAAACTTCTCGCGACACGCTGAACCGTAGGTTAAACATAATTACGGTTGGTGCTTTTCGGTGGCGGTTATGTCGCAGGCAATCAAAATTACAGTTTTGTACGGAATCAACTCTTTTCGAGGGCTCTAATTAAAGGGGGAGCTAGGATGGCGCTTGTAACACTTAGATGATGGCACTGTTCAGTGCACAAAATTTCGGTCGTGATAATGAGCATAATCTAGGTGGCCTGAAATGTAATCTGCGAATTTCCGAGATAGAGCTTTCTTTTCGTACTTTTTACTTATCGCATTCATTTTGAGTGCAACACGAGTCTTTCAATGTTAATTTTTTGAAATTAGAATGCACACCACGTCGCATGCGTGGATTCTCGGACACACGGGACTGCATGCTCAACAGGTTTTGTGCTAGTGTAGCATATAAACAGGTTGTTTCAGCTGTAGTGTGGATATCCGTGACTTCAAGAACATATGCGATATCAGTGGTTTATGCTAAAGTTGGAAATAAATTTTTTTGAAATTTTACTTAACATGGCACACCCCAAACTTGGAGCTGAATTTTATAGAAAAATGGAGTGTCTATTATGAGAGTAAATATGACATCATTGGGAAAGAAAGAAACTGGATGTCACGGCTGTAACTCGTATCATTTGAGATACAATCTACGAGACAGAAACTGATGGAAACCTTGCATGTGTTGCATGCTGAAACCTATACTATAGGAAATATTACTATTTGTTAGGCCTCATTGTAAACAAGGCTTCCGCATGAAATCTCTGTTCACAATGTTTGCTTCCTTCATCATCATACCGTGGGTATATATTTATATAAATGCAAGAAGTAAATTTTTTACAAGTTGATTGATATGTGGGATTTAACGTCCCAAAACCACCATATGATTGAGAGACGCTGTAGTGGAGAGCTCCGAAAATTTCGACCATCTGGGGTTCTTTAACGTGCACCCAAATCTGAGCACACGGGCCTACGACATTTCTGCCTCCATCAGAAATGCAGCCGCTGCAGCGACCTGCGGGTCAGCAGCCAAGCACCTTAGCCACTAGACTACCGCGGCGGGGCAAATTATTATTTTTTTTTAGAAGTTCATTTTTCTTTGATAAACTCACAAAATTATTTAGAACAGCCAAAGAAAGTAATTTGTAGTAATTGTGAAGTAAATGAGAAGAAAGTGGAGGAAAAGATAGGTTGCCACTAGCAGGGATTGAACCTCGGAATAACACGTCTGATGCTCTACCAACTCGGCAAAAACGGGGGTCATTCTCTCTTTATGTGCACTTATATGTGGGAAGTCAGCGTCGCTACTAGCCATGACGGGAGTGTGGAGAAAGCTTTTACTGTATTGCCTGTTGGTGTCAAGTAGCACACAATCTTATTATGAGCTGGCGGCTGACCAATAATCCCTTGCATGCTATCTTCAGGCATCGAGTCTACCAGAACAAGACCTTCACTGTGAAGAAATAAAAGAAGGGGAATTTTTCAAGGGATGACATATTTTGAGGTAAACCTACAAGATGGTGCATATAGGGAAACACAGAGAGGCAATCTAGACACAGCATTTTTCAATTTCTACAAGAGGCAAAATCCAGTGGAACTAAACCTTTCCAAAATAATTAGGCTTGCTCACCTGTGCTTGGTCCAATCTGTTCTTGGCGTCTGCTGCCGCCGGATGGTGCAGGCTGTTTACAGCAAAAAGATCTTCTTCTTCCGTAGAAGGCGATTTGGCAACCATCAAGGCTGGCTTCAAAGAACCCGGGTTCTGCTCCGCATGTGTCACCTGCATTTTTGTTGCACAAGGCTCTTTGAAACAGGCCTTTTTTACGTATCATTGAAAGGAATATGCCCCAACTATAGTAAATGCCCAATTCTCTAAGCACTGCGAAATCGGTCCAAAAAACGAATTAGCTTGTGTGGACAATTTATATAGCTTTCAATGCCTGCAATAAACTTATCAGAAACTTTGGAGCTTGTGCAGGGTATCAAGAATATGTTTGGTACCAGCTACATGCCAACCACATATTACAAATTTGCATCTTTTGCCGTTCAGGCCACCAAATTAAAGAAAAAAATTATATTTCTTGAAGTAGCATTCTGAAACAACAGTGCAGAACACATAGGCAAGTGCCCTCTGTGACTTGTGTGCCTGTGGGCAACTTTTGTCTGCAATGCATTTTCATTGTCGCCTATTCCAAACCGTGCAGTAAGCCTGAAACCACATCAGGCCATATGCTACCACACAGTTAGCCTGTGGTTGAATCCACTAAGTTCTCTATAAATACACTAGAGGAAACTCTGGTACTAGTAACTGCAGGAAATACAACGTACAGCGCTTCGGCAAGCATGGGAATGATGGGTAGTACACGAATTTGCCGAATCTTCATACATTTGGCTTCATTTAACTTCACGTGGCTTGAAGCTGCTTTCTCACAAAACAAAAATCAGCAAATGTTCAGCAGTTGCACTTCACCACCTTAAGCTTTTAGGCTCACTAATTCAAATCAGGTCCGGAATTTCCGAACGGTCCATTCTTACATTCGAAACAAAACCAAAACACAGCAATGAACATAACCACAGGCGTGTTCGAAGCTCACAAATATGAAGACTAGGCATATTCGTGCACTACCCATCAATCCCATGGTCGCTGAACAATCGCAGCGCCTCAGTCCCCTTAAGTTTATTTTAGAAAACTCTATGGTTGAATCGTACTGGTGTGTTAGTCACCTGTCACCATCATGCCTCCATGGATTTCTGGAGCTAATAATATGCTGACTCTAGAGGAGAAGCCGGGTTGCGAGAACACTAACCACAAGAACCATGACATTTTTTAAAGATTGGCACGGTTGCGATTACAGTACTATAATGATGCACCTATAATGAACTAGATCCAATATCCTAGTGGCGTGAACAGGACGTTTCGGGCGTGCCATTTGACACATAAAAATTCAGGTGACGTCACTAAAGCTTTTTTTAGCGGCACTGCTGCTACCGCCGCGGTTGCTGCATGCACTTGTGTGCATTTCACTGCGTCGTTCTGGTGCGGTGTACACAGTTTTAGATAAGTGTCCACTACAGCTATACAGACGCTGCCAGCCGTTGGGAATATGGCTTCCAGGCTGTGCCTGCAGGGCTGCTGCAGTGGCCACCTAAGAGTGTATAATATGCACTTAATTCAATTTAGAGCGTTCATAACATAAATTGTGTCCGCACTATAAGCAGTATAGCACTATAACCAAAAACCCCTTTTTCAAAGGCCGCAATTGCACAAAACGTGGTGAGCATATGCAGCCTCGCGTGTTCTAGAATCGAAGCATGCAATGTGAGGTGCTCATAGCCTTTTAAATTTCCGAATGTCAAACGAAAATTTGATGCCCAAATACACGTGTTTGCCAATGAAATGACTCACTTTAGACTGCGAACAGATGCGAAGAGAAGGCTATTGTATTAACGAGATAATGTGAGCTTTCTGCAAGCGAGGCTCTAGCGATCCTGGCCATAGAGTTTCCTAATTAACTCTATGGTCTTTGCAGCAGACGGAGGCCCATTTGGGTTATCACCTCATGAAAGTTTGCAGTATGGTAATGACAAGGCTATGCTTGATGTCTCGGTGCCCGCGATCGACAACGCTCAACTCCTCAACAGAGAATTGCATTTGTTTCTGCATAGCGGTGCATGTTGAACACGGTCCCATACAATGACTGAGGTGGCAGCCATTGGCTTCCTTGCGCACTCAGGTGGTTGTCGGCTATTAAAAGCATACAGTCGGATTAAAACGCCGCCACGCCACACATGTAGGCTTTTCATGAGCAATGTTGTATTGGCGCGCTTTTCAGTGGTCACCACATCATCTTCATTTTTCGTCAATGGTTACAAGAAAAGACACTGCCGTAATCGCTCAGAATACGGAATAATTAATCGGCAGATTCCGAGCTGTTGCAGCGGGGCAACTGTACACAAATGAAGCAGTGCTAGTGTACAAGATGGCGACCATCACGTAATATCTGCTAACGATGCATGCTGTCAACATTCTTTTCGGTTTTAAAACCACCTTGTGGCACAGCAAATTAGACAAAAGAAACCCTTTCAGAGTAGTATGGTGCAGTAATTCCTAGTTGGTACAGGTTTCCCATCACTGTGAGCTGGAAAAACCACTTTCACATCGAAATGGTTAGCTACATTCTTTGACCCATTTTATGATTTTAAAACATGACTGTGGGTTTTGATGTGTGTGACCTTCTATTTACTTTTTCACTTCACTTTTCTTCACTTTTTCTTGTGCCTCCTAATCTAACTTCACACCCTTTTTTAGAAACAGTATTAATGAGATCTAAAAGACATCAATGCCAAGGAAAGTATAAGGGATGTTATATGAGGTAACAGTAATGTAAATGTGAAGAAGGAAAAGTGAATGAAAAGACTACTTCAAATAACTTCAAATACTTCAAATAATGCATATGATGCTCTACCAACTGAGCCATCATGGCAGCTATCCGCCCATACACATTATTGGGTATATATGTGAATCAAACCTGGGAGCGTCAGTAAGCTCCCTCTGCAGCCTTGATGGCGAGTGTGCAACACTTCTTTTGCCTGTTGGCATCCTGCAGCACGTGATCTTATTATGCATTTTCACATACATTTTGGTTGGAGTTAAAATCATTTCCCAGATCTTATTGCAAGCTGGCAGCTAACCAATAATCCTTCGAATACTACCTTTAGGCACCAAGTCTGTCAGAATGAGACCCTCACTATGAATGAAGGAAAGAAGTGTACATTTAAGGACTCGTTTTCTTTGTTAGACAGTATAAATGAAACCTAGCAGACAATCCTGCCAAGGAAAGTATAGGGGATGTTATATGAGATAATTGTAATGTAAATGTGATGAAAGAAAAGTGAACGAAGAAAAAATAACTTGGTGTACACAGGGGCTGAACCTGTAACCTTCGAGCAACGTCTCCGATGCACTACCAATTGAATTACCACAGTGGCTACCCTCCCATCTACCTTTCGAAACTGCCTTGGCAGGTTCGATACCTGCCCACGACAAGTTATATTTTAATTTACTCTTATTTCTTCACATTTACACTACCATTACCTCATATAACATCTATCACCTGAAACTGGGCTTGGTGGCACCGTTCGGAGCATCATGGTAAACTATGTGCTCTTCGTTATACCGGTATGCCTTGGCTTTCACGGGACTGAACGTGCCTCCCTGCTGGATTGCTGTGGTCATTCCGCCACAACGCGGATGTCATCAAGTATCCAACACGTGCAACTTGGGACGATGCTGCTAATGCTACCAGCATGGCAGAAAGAACCCCATCATGATGCGACGCTTCGCACGTCACGTCCGGAGGATCCTTTTGGCGCACCAGCGACATCTGGCACATCAGCGGGACTGCATAAAAGGCCGAACATGTCCCGCGCGCGCTTCACTGGGCTTGGTGGCACCGTTCGGAGCATCATGCTAAACTACGTGCTCTTTGTTATACAGGTTAGTGATAAACGGTCCTTTGTTAAATGTACTGAAACTAGTTACGTTGGACTAGTTGTGCTGCCAAGCCCACAGTACATGTTTTGCTACCTGCAGTGTGTTTGCATGATATTTTTGTTATTGCAACTGAGTGGTGACATAGAAAAGAACCCAGGTCCTGACAAAATAGATAAAATACTAAAGGCCGTCAATGAACTTAAGACATCTCATACAGCTCTTGAGACGGGTCTTAAAGATGTTCAGCTAAGGCTATCTCAGATTGAAAGTACCCTTACGTCACTAAAGCAATGTCAGGAGAAGATAGAAAAACGTGAAGCAACCATATCGGCTATGCGCAGTGAGTTCACTGAAATGCACAACAAAATAGAAGAACTAGAAAATAGAAGCCGCCGAAACAATATCATTATTTATGGTCTTAAAGAAACAGAAATACCAGGAATGGTGCAGCAACTTGTGACGCGAGAGATATTTTCTGAAATGTTGGGCATCGAAGTGAAATCTGTTGAGCATGTGCACAGGCTCGGTCTTCAGAAGCCTAACCGCGACCGACCGGTTATATTGCGCTTCTATGATTTTACAGAAAAAATGCTGGTATTACGAAACTGTTATAAACTAAAAACTACAGCCATATCTGTATCGGAAGACTATTCTAAGTTTGTTCGTGAAACTCTGAGGAAGCTGCTTCTACACTGAATCGCAGTAACGGAGATAAGGTGACACTAGTTTACGATAAACTTGAAATCAACGGAGAATGCTTCACATGGAATGAGATGAAAAATAAAATGGTAGCTGTGAAACGTGCTCGTACCGATGGTCACAAGAAGGCAAGCACTTCTCAAGCGTGACAGAAAACAAAAGTATGGAAACGTGGCTAAACCCTGATATTCACGATTCAGAGATAGTGCCACCAGCATACGCACTGCTTCGTACAGATCGGCATGGCCGTGGTGGGGGTGTGGCCATCGCCATTAAACGGAGCACGTCTTTTCAAAAAGAAAGTGGCATTGCTGGTCATGAAAGTGTGTGGTGTTCAATCCTTATAACGTCCCTGTGTTGATTGGTGGTGCATACCGATTTCCGGGTGCTCCTGATGAATACCTTCTAAAGCTACAGAACTTCACGACTGTGTAGGTGAGCGAACGAAACTAATACTTACTGGTGATTTCAATATACCGGGAATAAACTGGGACACTTTTGCCATCGAAAATACTGCTGTTAAAGGTTCAGATATACTTTTTGACATTAGGTTTAGTTACTCGTTGACACAGCTAGTGATAGAACCG